ATATGCGTGTTATGGAGATAAAAGAAAGTTCCACTGGGAAGTTAGTCAAAATATGAAATTTAGAAGCAACCCTACAAGCACAAGGGGGTGGAAGTAAGTAACTACAGATATTTATAGGCAAGGAAGGACATCAAACGGTCCGTTGGGTATATATTGTAATGAGCTCACGGCTTTACAAGAGTCAGAGAATCTTCCCTAAGTGCTATGACGAAAGACTCGCTGAGGAAACAAGGAAGAAGGCTTCAATCTAAGCACAATGACCTAAAGAGAAAATGGCCATGTGACAATAGTATCAAAACAACATTATATGCACTCCCTAAAAAAGTGGCACCTACCGTGGATAATGAACAAGGAGTAAAATCAGAAGTGATATTCAAGATCATATGAGTTGTATAGAATTTTAATATGTGTGGGCACTAAAATAAGCTAAGATTGGACGCAACAAGGGGGCAGAAAGACCAAGAAAAAGTAATAGCTTACGTTTAAAGAAAACTAAGATGGAAAGAAAGGAATTATTCAATCAATGATCCAGAGTTGGTTACGTTATGAACTCACTTAATGGTTCAGAGTTTTATACATACATCATATACAACCATAGAAGATCCTGGTATGCGTTAAAAGAAAGAATTGAGCACAGGTCATAGATGAAGGATTAAATTGTTAAAGGATTGGATCATGCATATTCCATAGCGCCATGAAAGGCTAAAAGTAATAACTAAATGTCATGAGCCACAGATCGGAAGATAGCTTGAGCCTACATAAAGGCTAATCAGAAGAAAGAGGAAACTAAAGAATTACATCAACTAAGTATAATAAAAGCCTGCTTATTGGACCCAGAAATTTATAAACATCATGATTGAGAACATTGTAAAATCATTCATAATACCAGAGGTACAAGAGAAATAGTACCGTAGCCATATTCTATAATGGCTCTATGATAAAGCCAGTTAGAAGAATACTAGTATGGAGCTACCACCAGATTGTTTATGCACCAGAGGTGCAAGTATTATAAGAGAACTTCAAGTTGTGGATGTGATTATACCTATGTGGAAGGGAGGTTATGAAAGAGATAAAAGATGTGATGTGAGACTTTAAGATAAGTAAGGTAAAGATGGACAACGTACGAGATACTCAAATACAAAAGGTTGTGAATAGTTTTTACTTCGGATAGAAGGATAGAAGTGTGGGGATTCAATATCTAGGAATAATAGCAGCATCCTCAGTGGCATATCCTCCAGCCTATGGTCTGGTATCGAGAGGCCTGATTAAGAGAGTAAATAAGAGTTAGAGATGATGTCATGTCTCGCTTGATATTCCAAAATGACATAAAGAAATCTATGATGCAACCAAGTTGAAAGGTTGAAACTAATATAAATAGATATGTGTAGGTCGCAAGCTATTGTAAGGTGAAACAACAAGGTTCTAGAAGACATAAGTAAGGATAAGAAAGGGCGAGTGAGAAGGTAACGAAAATGGATAAGTCCTCAAGATTAAGCCCATGAAAACAAGAAGAACAGATGGTTTCTCTAAGTTATACAAAGCTCACTATATCCTGAATGAACTCAAAGGAGTCTAAGACTAATGACATTTAGAAGAGATGGAATGTTGCCCTAATAGTAGAATGAGGGTGTGATTATGATAGATAAAGGACGACGTTTGGGCCTTCGATTGAGTAATAGTCTGACGAAGAAAAGAAAGGGATTTCATGAATTCGACAAGATTAAAATAGCCACGTAAGGTGAGTCACATTGGGATGATATGAAATATGGTTATGGAGGTATAATATCGTATCACCCAAGTGGATAAAAAAAATCACTTTAAATGTTCCACGATGCAACATGAGCACTAGTGATTACGTAAGAGGTTCCAAGTTATTAGTGGTATATTGTAGATCAATATTGAGGTGAATCAATAATAGATGGACATGATTTACAATGTATGAGATGAGATTAGGCCATTAGTGTTAAGATGAACAGTAATGAAGAAGCGTTAAAAGACTTCGTTTTATGCATATAGGATAAGCAACGAGAGTAATCTGGAGTTGGTTGCAGACCTCAGCAACGATAAATTGAAGTAAGAATTATGGTATAGTATGACCTACATAGATGTAGTAAAGTTATACGAATGTATAACCAGATCTATGAAATAAGATATAGCCATATTCGCAAGTTCTACAAAGTACCGAGCGAAGAACTTCAATACCCCTATAGATGCCCAGAGAGGCATCCTATTAAGCCTTGTATATGTTTACAAAGTAAGGCCTAGAGATTGGCTAAAAGCTGGAGAAAAAGGAGATAAGAGTTGCATAGGCACACTTACAAGGTCAGTATCGTGGAGGCTGCATGATAGAAGGTAACAACAGTTACGAGATTGAAAGGAATTCGATCACAAGTCATGGCGTGGGAAAAAAGCCTAAAGGGGAGGGATGCCCTAACCTTTGTATTTATTCACAGAACAACTGCCTAAATGGCAAGGAAAATATTAATATATTCACAAGAGCTATAAGTTATGAAAATGATAAGAGCATCAGACAACATTCTAGGACGAATGTTCCAAAGGGGGGAATGATGTTACGCCCCGCAATATTACGTTGATATTTCGTCCTGCAATATTATATTACAATGATGTTACGTCCTGCAGTATTATATTACGATGATGTTATTTACTGTAGTATTATATTACGATGATATTATGCCGTGCAGTATTACATTACGATAATGTTACGCTTCGCAGTATTAAATTACGACGATATTGTACTCTATAGTATTGTACGCTGAATTTGTCGTAAGGTAATTGACACCAGTCCAAGGAAAAGATTATTCGGAGATTATAAGGATTATGCTATTTCACAAGTAATGAGTAAATTCGTGAAGATGAGAGGGGAAGCAAATCGAAGAAAATGAATTTTGTCGAAGTTTGATATTTTGAGATAAAATACGGCCCAAGCTAAAATACCAGGTATTTATGGACTAGTACCATACAAGGTACCCCATGTCCATTGTAGTAAGGTGTACAAGGTATGTTAAAAGCAAGTAGTATTTTAAGTAAGCTGAGATAATTCTTAATTATGCGGGTAATTAATTAATTGCCGGATAACGGAACATTACCTAATTAATTGGGGATATATATTGGATAAATATTAAATAGTATGATGTGGTAGCCCCATATTCAAAATAAATGACTCAGAATATTGGATTGAAAGGAGTCACACCTTAAAGTGACACTAAGCTTGCAATATGGCCCACCTAAGGTTAAGAATAACATTTCAAAAATCAAAAATTATTTCCTACATCTCTTAAGGAAAGAGTTCAGCAAGCTCTCATTACTTTTAAAATCCAAAAATCATTCCCTACATATCTTAAGAAAAAGTTCAGCAAGCTCTCCTTACAAAAATACTAACGTTAAAGCATTTCTCCAGTATGCATCTGCATATTATATATCATATAAGCAACACCCAAAACCTTCAACAATTCAAATTAACGTTAGAATTTGCAATATTAAGGAAATACAGTGTAATCTTTCTCAAGAGACTCGACTCATGTATGTTAAGCCTATCCATTCTTTCTTTTGGTATGATCCATACGTCACAAACGAAATGTGCAAATACATAATTTCCATACATGACTCTATTCATAGAAATATTAGAGATGCTTATGTTCGTGATTCCCCATGTGTCATATTATTCTATCATCTATTCATGGGTCTCATAAAAATACATAAGTTAAAAAAAATGTTTACTTCATGTTACTACTCAATGCATAATGGTCTTATGACATTTCGAAAGATTTTATTGACGTACTTCTCATGCATTACATCCATTTACATTGACCCATGACCAGATAGCATTATATACGTGTATATATGTATATTATATGTATATGAGATATGGAAAAAATGTTACGACATTATATACGCTCCACCACCTGATCAGCTGGTATACGTTGATGATTTTGCCCACAGTGGCCGAGATGATATGATGGGATGCCCTCAGAGGCCTGATGATGTTATGAAATATGTACCAATGCACGACATGAAATTCCTACGCATATGCATGACACTATAATTATTTCATTATTTACAGAATTGTTCAGGCTTACAGGTTGAGTCATGTACTCTATATTTCTTCCATGTCTCTTATGTACTTATTTATGTGCCTTACATACTCAGTACATTATTTGTACTGACATCCCTTATGCCTGGGGACGCTATGTTTCATGCCACAAGTCCAGATAGACAGGTCGAGGGCCCTCCAAGTAGGCTATCAGCTCAGCGGAAGATGTTTGTGCGCTCCATTTGCTTCGGAGTCGCTTGTTTGGTTAGTATGATTTAGACGTGTATTGTTTGGTATGACGGGTCTCTGTCCCGACCTATATGAAAATTATGTATTCTTAGAGGCTTGTAGACAGATGTCATGTACGTAAAAGATTGTATGGCCTTGTCGGCCTATGTTCAGTGTACGAGTGGCTATTTTGCTCTTCTGGGCCCGCATGTCTTGTGTATTAGTTGGTATCACATGTTGTACCCTACTTATCTCACGACAGCCTTCCCGCTCAGTTATCTATGTAGTATGACATGAAATGATACGTTATGTTGGTACTTGGTTGAGTAAGGTATCGGGAGCCCGTCGCGGTCCATCGTTTTGGGTCATGACATAAAACTTTCAATTTTCGTGCTAGTGTCACGCCCCAAAAATACCCTGTATTTATGGACTAGTAATATAGCACATGACCATAATAGCAAAATGTATAAAGTATGTTAAAAATATGTAGTATGATAAGTATTTTGAGATAATTTTTAATTATGTGGATAATTGGGTAATATTAATTTTAGTGGGAGATTAACTAATTAATTAATATATTTCGAAAAGAATTCAACGTGTCAGTAATATGTGAGTCCTATATGCCACGTTCATAATTTATATGCGTATGTGCTGATAGCTATTCACGATAAAATAAGACCATGTAGTGTAAGCACAAAAATGACCCTAGAGCATGTTTTGATTTGGGTATGACTTCATGTGGAAGGTGGGTAGGAATGCTTGTTTCCTCTTTTTTAATAATGGCAAGTAGCAACAAAAACTTTCAAATCACCTACTACTTTCCACACCAGAACTGCACAGAAAGAATGAAAATTCTAAGAGAAATAAGAAAAAGGAGAGAGTAGACTTTGGAATTGACATAACAGATTTGAAGGTAAGAAAAGAAAGAGAAAGAGACGAATTATTTAGATTGATAGGATCGACTTGAAGAAGATATTTTTTTCTTCCAGTTTCGTTCAAGTATATAGTTTTGAGTTCATGGAAAGGAAAGAACAGCTTCTATTTTGACAAGGTGCTCAATCGGATGAGGTTAAACTATCGCAATATCAGGCGGTAAATGAGCACTCAGCAGAGGGCAAAAGTAAAAATATTATTGCTTTACAAGACTGATTTCGACAGTTTGTTCTTCGATGATGATATGTTGTTTCCTCTTTCAATTTCTCATTTCCGAAAGATGAGTTACGTGATCTTCTGATAATTCCCTAGTCGACAACACCGCCTTCTATCTCACTGGTTCATGCAGCTCAGGTCTCAATTGCTTAAGGGGTCCGGGTATGTTATGGCTAATTCTTTCTTCTTTTTGGCATGACCCAAGTAAAGGATACGTAAATGTAATGCTATTTCATAAGTGTTTCTACTTTTAAAATTTAAGGATATCTACATTATTCATTCATATAAAGTGGTATTCAAGCATGTTTAAGTATGTTCCTGATTCCCCATATGTCCTACTACCTTATTGTCTATTCATGGGTCTCATAACATTCCAAGGGATCATATTTTCTTACTTCATTATGCATTGCATTCATTTATATATATGTATTTACCCAATTTCGTTTTAAAGTAAATTCTGTATTTTGAGGCCTTAAAAACCTCATTTTGTCTCATCTCGATTTGCGTGCACAATCCAGGCGCGTTTCCGGAAGTTCTTATGTGAAATCTAAATAAAATAAGGAAATTGGGCTTTAAAATTAATTGAAGTTGACTTTGGTCAACATTCTTGGTAAACAGACCCGGACCCATGATCCAATGGTGTCGTAGGGTCCGTAGTAAAATATGGGACTTGGGCGTATGCCCGGAATTGAATTCCGAGGTCCCAATCCCGAGAAAAGAATTTTTAAAGAAAATTATCCGCTGGAAAATATAAAAGCTTTTAGAAGTGAATTGATGTAATTTCTTGATAGTATCGGGCCCGTATATTGGTTCCAGAGCCCGGAATAAGTTTAAAATAATAATTAAATTGAATCTATGAAATTTGGTAAAGGTCGGAATTGATTTGGTATAAAATGGACATATAGTTGAGAAAATAGAAATTTCAATGTTCTTGAGTGATTTCATGAATTTGAGGTTTAATTCATAGTTGTTGATGTTATTTTGATGATTTGATAGCACGAGCAAGTCCGTATGATATTTTTGGACTTGCGTGCATGTTTGGTTTGGAGCCCCGAGGGTTCAGGTGAGTTTTGGATAGGCTATGGAGTGAAATTAAACTTACGAAAGATTACTGGTATCTGGTATTTTTGCCTAGACCTTTGATCTCGCAATTGCGAGACCAGACTTTGCAATTGCGAAGTTCTCAGGCTTGGGAATTGCGACCCAGGCGTCGCAAATGCGAAATAAGCCTAGGCAGGCCATGCTCACAAATGCGACGTTTTGATTGCAAATGCGAAAGGGGTAGGGTCGCAAATGCGACTTATTCTTCGCAAATGCAAAGCAGACAGGTTTCCAATTGCGAACCCTGGTCGCAATTGCGACATCTGAGACCTACAAAATGAAATTTTGACGGGATTTTTCCCATTTTTCCATACTCTTTCAAACCCTAAAACTTCTTGGGCGATTTTTCAAAGGCACATACTCTTCCAAATCATATGTAAGTCATTTCTAACTCAGTTCTTCCAATATAATCCATCTTTTTACATGATTTCAATTCAAAATCAAAGGTTTTCATGGCGGAAATTGGGTGTTTTTGGGTAGAACTTAGGATTTTCAAATTTTGGGGATTTGGACCTCAATTTGAAGTCCGATTTCAAAATAAATTATATATTTGAATTCGTGGGTGAATGGGTGATCGGTTTTGGTTCGAACTTCGAGTTTTGACCAAGCGGGCCATCAATTTTTGACTTTTTGGGAAAATCATTAGAAAATCTATTTTCATGCATTAGAATTGGTTTTTTTTAGCATTTGTTAATGTTATTAAGTAAATTGTGGCTAGATACAAGCGGGTTGGTAATGGAATCAAGAGGTAAAGAGGTAGTTGAGGCTTGATTGTATTCGTGACATTGAGGTAAGTGTTTGGTCTAACATTACCTTAAGGAAATAGGAGTGTGGTCTTATTTGCTATGTGTTAATTGTTGAGTACGACGTATAGGTGTGGTGACGAGTATCTATACGTTGGTGTCAGGCATGCCCGTGAGTCTTATACTATGATTGTTGTGACTCCATTATGTATTGTCCATGCTTAATATGATGATTTCTAATGTTGAACAAGGCTCATGAAATTATTCTTGGTAATTGAACATTGTAGAGCATTGGCTCAAGTGGAGAATTGAGTTGTGAAATAATTGTGAAAAAGAGAAGAGGTTTATGATATTGTTTCCATTGCCGGGATGTTATTGCTTAGATATTGTTTTCCTTGTCGGGATGTTATTGCCTATGATATTATTTCCCTTGCCGGGATATTATTGTTATACTATTGTTCTCTTGTCGGGATTCTATTGTGATTTTATTGATTCCCTTGCCTGAGTTGCCTTGTGATTGTTGCTTGGGTAAGGAAGAGTGTAAAAGCATGAAGGGTGATGCCGTACGTGATATTTGTGAGTGAGTGTTAATGCACAAAGGGTGATGCCGTGCCGATATTGTAAATGTAAAAGCACGAAGGGTGATGCCGTGCCGATATTGTAAATGTAAAAGCACAAAGGGTGATGTCGTGCCATGATATGAGTGATAATGCACGAAGGATAATGTCGTGCCACAATTATGTGAGGTAAAAGCACGAAGGGTGATGTCGTGCCAAATATATTGATTCTTATGGTGAGAACGAGAGTAAAAGCACGAAGGGTGATGCCGTGCCCTTGTTATTGTTCTCCTTATTATTTCTTATAGTTGAATTTTGGTGTTCCGTATTTTTACTGAATTTCTGTTTGTACATAATATTCCCCCGAGCATGTTTCCCCTTCCCATCATTACCTGCCACTTTCTTTTATTATTACTTGCCGTATATGATTTAACTGCACATGTTTATTTGGTAGTCTTGTCCTAGACTCGTCACTACTTCGCCGAGGTTATGCTCGACACTTACTAGCACATGAGGTCAGTTGTATTGATACTACACTCTACACTATGTGCAGATCCTGGTGCTGGAGCCTTTGGACCACAGTAAGGTTGCTGCCTTCAGTCCAGCGGCGGAGACCCGAGGTAGTCCTGCAGACGTCCGCAGGCATTGGCGTCCCATTCTATCTTTTCCATTCTGTTTTTATGTATTTTAGAGACAGACGTGTATTTTCCATTCAGACCACTATTTGTATTATTCGTAGATGGTCCAATTCTGGGTAGTGTTGTATTTTGAATTTTTTATTTGTATCTAGTTAAATTATTAAATTTTGTCTTCCGCATTTCCGTTTATTATGATTATTCCGTTGTTGATCACCTGTTAATTCGTAAATGTTAAAAGGTTAAGGAAAAAAAACAAAATCTGTATTACTTGGTTGCCTAATTTTCACGAGTAGGTGCCATTACGACTCCCGAGGGTGGAAAATACGGGTTGTGACAAGTTGGTATCAGAGCTCTAGATTGCTTAGGTCTCACAATTCACGGAGAAGCTTAGTAGAGTCTGAGGGATCAGTACGGAGACGTCTGTGTTTATCCCCAGAGGCTACAGTGTTAGGAAAAACTTCACATCTATTCTTTCCTGTCGTGCGACTTGATTTCTAAATGCTAATTGAACTTCCACTCTGTTCTTTCGCAGATGGTGAGGACACGTACCACTTCATCAGCTGACCAACAGCCCGAGCCCCAGTAGTAGCTCCTGAGAGGGGCAGAGGCCAAGGCCGTGCTAGGGTCCGAGGCAGAGGTAGGGCTCAGCCTAGAGCTCGAGCAGTAGCACCAACGGCGGAGCCTCGGGTTGAGTTTGACGACAAGGTTCCAGTCTAGATAGTTCCAGCAAGACAAGCTTAGGTCCCAGAGGGGTTCATCGCCACCCCGGTACTTCAGGATGCTTTGGTCCGACTAGTGGGCCTTATGGAGAGTGTCGCCTAGGCAGGCTTGCTTCCTGTAGCACCAACCATTTCTTAGGCTAGAGGAGGAGCCCATACTCCTACTACTCGCACCCCGGAGCAAGTGGCTCCCCAGTTTTAGACTCCAGCTGCTCAGCTAGTTGGGGTAGTTTAGCCGGTGTTGTGGCACAGACCGGTGAGGGCCAACTATGTCTGCTGATGCCTTGTGGAGGTTGGACAAGTTCACCAAGCTTTTTACTACTACTTTTAGTGGTACATCTTTTGAGGATCCCCATCATTATTTGGACATCTGTCATGAGGTTCTACGGAACATAGGGATAGTGGAGACCATTGGGGTTGACTTTGCTGCTTTTCGTCTGTCTGGATCCACCAAGACTTGGTGGAGAGATTGTTGTGTGGCTAGACCAGTTGGGTCACCGGCTTTGACTTGGGATCAGTTCTCTTAGCTATTTCTTGAGAAGTTTCTTTCTATCACTTAGAGGGAGAACTATCTGAGGCAGTTTGAGTGTCTCCAGCAGGGTTCATGACTGTTACTCAGTACGAGACCAGATTTATTGACTTGGCCCATTATGCTCTTCTTATACTTCCCACTGAGAGAGAGACAGTGAGGAGGTTCATTGAGGAACTCATTTAGCCTATTCGGTTGTAGATGGCTAAGAAGACCGGAAGCGAGATTTCTTTTCAGAATGCGGCCAATGTGGCCAGTAGAGTTTAGATAGTTCTATCACAGGGGAGTGGTTAGGGGTTTGACAAGAGGACTTGACATTCGGGTAGGTTCAGTGGTACCTCATCTGGAGGCAGAGATTCTTTTGGTAGGGGCCATCCTTCCAGGCCGTTTCATTCAGCACTACAAGCTTCTCATGGTGATCTAGGTAGCTGTGATTCTCATATCTAGTATTCTGATCAGTTGCCCTACAGTGCATCGCCAACTCCTATCAGTGCACTATCGGTCCAGAGATTTCAGGGTGGTTATTCAGGCCATCAGAGTCAGCGGTCTTAGAAGTCGAGGGCTTGCTATACTTGTGGCAACACGAGGCATATTTCTAGATTTTGCCCTCAAGCACCGAGCAACTCTCAGCATCAGGGTTCCCATGCCATGGTTCAGGCATCGAGTGTTCTACCGCTCGCTCAGCCAGCTAGAGGTGGAGGTAGAGGTGCTAGAGGTGTAGGTAGAGGTATTAAAAGTGGAGGTCAGGCCGTTAGAGGTGGAGGCCATCTAGCAGGAGGCCATCCCAGAGAGGTAGTTCAAAGCGGTGGGGCGCAACCCCGATGTTATGCTCTTCTAGCTAGGCCTGAGGTTGAAGCTTCCGATTCAGTTATCACATGTACTGTTCTGGTTTGTAGTAGAGATGCTTCAGTTATGTTTGATCCAGAATCTACATACTCCTATGTGTCATCTTATTTTGCACCGTATTTGGTCATGCCTAGTGATTCCTTAAGTTCTCCTATATATGTGTCTACACCGGTGGGTGATTCTTATAGTTGTGATTGGGGGTCTTGAGACCTGAGTAGATCTGTTACTTTTGGATATGGTTGATTTTGATGTCATATTGGGGATGAACGGGTTATAACCTTACCACGCTATCATGGACTGTCATGCCAAGACTGTGACCTTAGCCTTGTCGGGTTTACCTCGTTTAGAGTGGAGAGGGACTCCTGGTCATTCCACCCATAGGGTTATCTCATATATGAAGGCTGGCGTATGGTTGAGAATGGATGTTTGGCCTATTCAGCATTCATGATTCTAGTGCCGAAGTTCCTTCTATGGATTCTGTGCCTGTTGTTCGTGAGTTTCCTAAGGTATTTCTTTCAGACCTGCCGGGTATGCCACCCGATAAGGATATTAACTTTTGCATTGATCTAGCTCCGGGAACTCAGCCCATTTTCATCCCGCTATATCGTATGGACCCGCCAAAGTTGAAAGAATTGAAGGAGCAGTTGCAAGACTTGCTTGATAAGGGTTTTATTAGACCTAGTATCTCGCCTTGGGGTGCGCTGATGTTATTTATTAAAAAGAAGGACGGGTCGATGATGATATGTATAGATTATCGATAGTTTAACAAGGTCACAATCAAGAACAAGTATACATTGCCGAGGATTGATGATTTGTTTGATCAGCTTCAGGGTGCCAAGGTATTTTCGATGATTGATTTGAGATTTGGCTACAATCAGTTGAGGATTAGGGCATCCGATGTCCCTAAGACAGGTTTCCGCACTCGATACGGGCATTATGAGTTCTTGGTGATGTCATTCGAGTTGACAAATGCTCTAGCAGCTTTCATGGATTTGATGAACCGGGTGTTCAAGACTTACTTGGATTCATTCGTGATAGTCTTCATTAATGATATTTTGATCTATTCTTGCAGTTGGGAGGAGCATGAGCAACATTTGAGAGTGGTTCTTCATACTTTGAGCGATAGTCAGTTTCATAATGTGAGTTCTGGTTGAGTTCAGTTGCATTCTTGGGTCACATTGTATCAGTAGAGGGTATTCAGGTGGATCCGAAGAAGATAAAGGCAGTCAAGGACTAGCCTTGACCCGCGTCAGCTATAGAGATCCGAAGTTTCTTGGGTTTGGTAGGCTATTACCGTCAGTTTGTGGAGGGGTTTTCATCTATTACAGCCCCGATAACCAGGTTGACCCAGAAGGGTGCCCAATTCAGATGGTCGGATGAGTGTAAGGCGAGCTTTCAGAAGCTCAAGACAGCTTTGATTGCGACGTCAGTGTTGGTTTTGCCCACAGGTTCAGGGCCATATATAGTGTATTGCGACGCATCTCATATTGGACTTGGTACGGTGTTAATGCATGATGGCAAGGTTACTGCTTATGCTTCGCGACAGTTGAAGATTCATGAGAAGAATGATGCATTTCATGATTTGGAGTTAGCAGCCATTGTTCACGCACTGAAGATTTGGAGGCATGATTTATATGGCGTGTCATGTGAGGTGTTCACAGATCACAAGAGTCTACAGTACTTGTTCAAGCAAAAAGATCTAAACTTGAGGAAGAGAAGGTGGTTGGAGCTATTGAAGGACTATGATATCACCATCTTATATCATCCGGGGAAGGCCAATATAGTGGTCGATGCTTTGACTAGAAAGTCAGTCAGCATGGACAGTCTTGCGTATATTCCAGTTAATGAGAGACCACTTGCTTTGGATGTTCAGGCTTTAGCCAATCAGTTCATGAGGTTGGATGTTTCTAAGCCTAGCCGTGTGTTAGCTTGTACCGTCGCTAGTTCTTCATTATTTGAGCATATCAGAGATCGGCAATATGATGATCCACATTTGTGTGTTCTTAGGGACACAGTGCGGCACAGTGATGCCAAGCAGGTTACAGTAGGAGATGATGGAGTTTTGAGGATGTAGGGTCGTATTTGTGTGCCTAATGTGGATGGACTTCGAGAGTTGATTCTAGAGGAGGCCCATAGTTCTCGATACTCTATTCACCCGGGGGCCGCTAAGATGTACCAAGATTTGCAGCAGTATTACTGGTGGAGGAGGATGAAGAAGGATATTGTGGCACATGTGGCTCAGTGTTTGAATTGTCAGTAGGTAAAGTACGAGCATCAAAGATCTGGTGGTTTGTTCCAGAAGATTGAGATTATTGAGTGGAAGTGGGATCATATCACTATGGACTTTGTTGTTGGACTCCCACGAACTCAGAGAAAGTTCGATGCAGTGTGGGTTATTGTTGATAGGCTGACCAAGTCAGCACATTTCATTCCTGTGGCAGTTTTCTATTCTTCTGAGAGGTTAGCCGATATCTATATCCGGGAGATTATTCGTCTTCATGGTGTGCCTGTGTCTATCATTTCTGACCAAGGTACGCAGTTTACCTCACATTTTTTTAGGGCAGTTCAGCGTGAGTTGGGCACACGGGTCGAGTTGAGTATAACATTTCATCCTTAGATAGACGGGCAGTCCGAGCGTACAATTCAGATTTTTGAGGATATGCTCCGAACTTGTGTTATTGACTTTGGAGGCTCGTGGGATCAGTTCTTGCCTTTAGCGGAGTTTGCCTACAACAACAGCTATCAGTCGAGCATCCAGATGGCTTCCTATAAGGCTTTTTATGGTAGGCGGTGTCGGTCGCCGATTAGGTGGTTTGAGCTGGGAGAGGCTCGGTTGTTGGGTACGAATCTAGTACAGGATGCCTTGGACAAGGTTAAGATTATTCAGGATAGGCTTCATACAGCTCAGTCCAGGCAAAAGAGTTATGCCGACTATAAGGTTCGTGATGTAGCATTCATGGTCGACGAGCGGGTGTTGTTTCGGGTGTCTCCTATGAAGGGTGTGATGAGATTTGGAAAGAAGGGCAAGCTAAGCCCTAGATTCATT